TGGGGTCCGGCCGCCGCGAGCCGAGCCGAGCCGCGCCGAGCCGCGCCGAGTCGAACGGAGCCGAGTAGACCCGAACGGAGCCGAACCGAGGAGACCCGAGCCGAACCGAACCGAGCCGAGCCGTCATGGGGGTGGAGATCGAGACCATCTCGCCGGGAGACGGTAAACGGGAGCCCGGAGCAGGGAGCGGGGAGGGAGCGCGGGATGCGGGCGGCCGGGCGGGATGCGGCCGCATCCCTGGCCAAGGGGCTACCCCAAATCACTCGCCGAAGTCCACGTGTCCTGGCCCGGAGTCTTTCTTTTCTTCGTGGAGGGGTTTAAATTGGCTTCTCCCCCCGCGCCGTTTGGCTCCGTGGATCTGATGCTTCTCCCAGGCGTAAACGCCGAGCTCTTCTGCGGGGTACCACGTACTGCGGCGCAGGAAGCAGGGCTCCATCCTCACACTGCTATTGAGTGTCTGCAGGGACTCTGTGCGCTAACCAGCGGCGGTTCTGCGGGCTGGTTCTTTCGCTTGCAAGCCTTAATCAAAATCAGCTGGTTTTAAACATTACCGTAAAGCCACAGCCAGTCAGCGGTCTTGAGAATCCCTGTTTCTAGTTCAGCAGCGATGGGAATTTGTGCAGCCTCTGTGACTTTGCTGCTGTTATACTCACGTGGTGGATTAGGTGTCACTAAGGGCTGATATTTCTTTTCTGTGCTCTCTATATAAGAGTTTATCGTTTGAATAAAACCCGTTTTACCAAGGGTGGGATCCATCTTACATAACTTTTTTCAGGTTAGGTGCCTACTTGAAAGCAGACATCTGCGTTGTTGTCATGTCCCGAGGATAGTCCTGCCTCTTGGGGTAGGCTGGATTCCTCTCAGATGGTTTTGTAGAACCACTGAATAGTTAGGGCTGGAAGGGACTTCCTGGAGATGATATGATCCAACCACCCTACTCAAGGAGGGTCACATAGAGTACACTGCAGAGGACCGTGTCCTGTGGCTTTTTAATACTTTCAAGGGTGGAGACCTCTCTGGGCAACCTCTTCCAGTGCCCTGTCACCCTCACAGCAAAGAAGTGTTTTCTGGTGTCTGAGTGGATTTTATTGTGTTTCAGTTTGTGCCCCTTTGCCTCTTGTCCTGTCACCAGGTACCACTGAGAAGAGTCAGGCCCTATGCTCTTTACACCCTCTCTCCATATATTTAAATGCATTGAAAACATTTCCCCCCAGTCTTCTCCAGGCTGAACATATGAGAGATGCTGCAGTCCCTTAGTCATCTCTGTGAGACTTTCCTGGACTGGCTCCAGTAAATCCAGTGGAGAGCCCAGCACCGGACCCAGCCCTCCCGATGTGGCCTCACCGGGGCTGAGCAGAGAGGAGAAATCACCTCTGTCAACCTGCGGGCAACGCTCTTACTAACACTGGA